GATTTCTCATAAAGTCACTAGCTTCCATTTGCTCCTTTCTAATTTTTAAGAAAATATTTTCTTCAGTGAACTTTTGGACTTCCTTTTTTAATTGGTCAATTGTTCTTTTTAAGGGATTCTTCTCCACATTGGCTTTTTGAACTTCTTTTGCCATTTGGGTTAGGGTATTTTTTAAGGTGTTATTTTCTTCAGTATTTTGGGGGGTATCTTTTAGCAAGCTCTGGAATTATTTTTCATGATTTTCTTGCATCACTCTCATTTCTCTTCCCAGTTTTTCCTCTACTTCTCTTACTTCCTCCTCAAAATCCTTTTTGAGCTTTTCCAAGGTCTGGGACTGATTCATATTTTTCTTAGTGGCTTTGGATGTAGAGGCTTTGACTTTGTTTTCTTCTTCTGGTTGTGTTTTGATCTTCTTTGTCACCATAGAAAGATTCTATGGTCTGACTTTTTTCATGCAGTTTGCTCATGATCTCAATTTAAAACTTGAGTTTTAAACTCTTTGTTAAGGTAGGGGTCTGCTTCCAGTTTGGGGAGTGTACTGTCCCAAAATTTAGGAGTTTTGTGCAGCTGTTTTCAGAGATACTTCTAGGGACCTGTGATTTTTTTGTTCTTCCAAATTGATATAATCAAGAGTGAGGTGTTTACTCCTTTCCTAACCTGAACTCTGGTCTATGAGCACCCACAAGCATTCTTTTCTGCCTTGGAACTGTGAGGATTCCCCCTCCAATTCTGCCACAAGCTCCAACATGCCAGTGCTCCTCTTTGCCCCAGGACTGCCACCCAGAACTATGATCCAGATCTAAGCACAGGGAAAGCAAGAGATTCTTATCTCAGCATTGGCAAAGAGATCCCTGCAATCTCCTTCTGATAAGTCACATGATACCCCCTCTCTGTGGGCCAGAAGCTCCAGAAGCAGCTACCACCCCAGGGCAGTGCTGGGACTGGGGTCAAGACTGAGCTTCTCTCTCACTATGGTCACAGACTTTTCCTACTGACCCTCTAAGTTGTCTTTGTCATTTGTGGGTTGAGAAGTCTGGAAACTGCCGCAGCTTCCTGTGATTTAGTTCTCTGAGGCCTGCTTCAGGTTCACTGAGGCCCAGTGTTTGCCTGCACTACCCACACTGAACTGTGCTCCTCTCCAAGCCCAGTACAACAGACCTTTCCCATCAACCACCCATGTTGTTTTGGGCTGGAAATTTGTTTCACTTTGTATTTTTGTGGGTTCTGCTGCTCTAGAATTTGTTTAGAGCCTTTTTTACAGGTATTTGGAGGGGTTTGGGAAAGACTTCAAGCAAGTCACTGCTTTTGCTCCACTATCTTGGCTCTGCCTGATTGTGCCATCTTTGAGCCAGTACTGATGAGAGTAATACTCAATCAATGCCCATTTCCCACCCTCCCATCTTTCCTTCCACTCTAATTTTTTCATTCTTCTTCATGTGAAATAATTTACCCCATTCTACCTCTCCTTTCCTTCTGTTCCCAGTGTACTCCTTTTTCATCCCTTAATTATTTTTATATTATTCCCTCAAATTCACCTTATACCCATACCTTTATGTATATTCCAACTGTACTATTAGTAGTATAATTTTTTAAGAATTACAAGTATCCTCTTCCCATGAAGAGATGTAAAGAGTTCAGCTCATTGAATCCTTTAGGTTTTCTTTTCTCTTTTTATCTTTTTAGGCTTCTCTTGATTCTTGATATTTTAGATCTTTTTTTCTTTTAAATTCTGGTTTTCTCATTATGAAAGCTAGAAATCCTTCTATGTCATAGAATGGCAATTTTTCTCCTTGGAGTATTATGATTAGTTTTGCCAGGTATGTGATTCTGATTTGTAGTCCTAGCTCCTTTGCCTTCTGGAACATAATGTTCCATTACCGGTACGTTTGATTATAGTTCCTGGATATTTGAATTGTTTCTTTCTGGGCACTTTCGGTATTTTTTCCTTGACCTAATAGTTCTCAGATTTGGCTATGATGTTCCTTGGAGTTTTTATTTTGGGATCTCTTTCCTGAGGTGATCAGTGGATTTTTTTAATGCCTATTTGCCTTCTGGTTCCAGGATATCAGGGCAGTTTTCCTTGATAATGTCTTGAAAGATGCTGTCCAGGTGCTCCTTTTGATTATGACTTTCATGTAGTCCAATGATTCTAACACTGTCGCTCTTGGATCTATTTTTCAGGTCACTTGTTTTTCCAATGAGGTATTTTACAATTTTTTCTATCTTTTTCATTATATTTTGAATTTGTTTGATTGATTCCTGATGTCTCATAAAGTCATTAGCTTCCAACTTTTAAGGAGTTGTTTTCCTCAGTCAGGTTCTGTACTTCCTTTTCCATTTGTCCAATTTTATTTTTAAGCAGTGTTTTTCTTTTTTCCAAGCTGTTGCCCCTTTTATTTTTCTTAATTCTCTTGCATCACTTTTGTTTCTTTTCCTATTTTTTTCTTCTACCTCTCTTTTATGATTTTTAAGCTCCTTTTTGATCTCTTTTATGGTTTCTTTCTGGGCTTGAGACCACTTCCCATTTTTCTTTGGGATTTTGCCCAGAGGTGTTTTGACATTGTTGTCCTCTTCTGAGTTTGTGTCTTGGTCTTCCCTGTCACCATAATAACTTTCTATAGTCAGATTCTTTTTTTGTTTGTTTGTTTTTTTCTGCTGATTTTTTTTTGGCCTTTTCCCTTTCTTTTAATTTTGAGTTCTGCTTCCTGAGTGAAATGGAAGGGGTACTGTTTCAGCCTTCTTATGCCAGGGGCTGCTGGTCCTGGCTGTTTACCTGGTGCTGCACTGATGTTGACCTAAGGCCCACAGGAGACCCTTAGGAATGGTGCTGTGCTGAAGGGGTCAGGTTGGGGTGGCTAGCATTGCTGGAGGCTGTAAGGGTCTATCAGCTTACCTGGTGTTGAACTGGATTCCTAATGCTGGTGTCTGGCATGAGCTGAGGCCATTGAGGTGTTTCCGAATTTCCCTGGGGCTACACTTATACACATGGAGGTCTGGCTATTGGAGGGTGTTTGTTTGCCCAGGTCTACAATGTACCATGTGGTCAAGGTTAGCCAATTTTTAAAGTGCTTTATAAATGTTAGCTGTTACTATTGTTAAGAGTTTGTTGAATGAATTAATTAGTTAATGCCTCACCTGGATGTGATAAAGCTTGTACTACAGTGTTTTGTAAAGCTGAACTTACTAGAGATAAGTCATTTATTGTTATCCTGGAAGATCTTGCATCTATTATTAAAAGTGGGAAGGGAGGACATGATGATATCATTTAACTTTCCTTAGACTTGGTTTCCAAATCTGTAAATTAAGAGAGCTGGACTACAAGGCTTTCTGAGGTCCCTTTGAGCCCTTGATCTCTGATCCTCTGATACTCCTGGCTTCAAGGCCTGCCCTCTGTCCAGTTGGATATGAGTCTACATTTTCTCTTTTCTTCCATATACCAAAAAGGAAGGTGGAGGGAGGGGAGCCACTTTCCTGGAATTTCCCAGAGAAACAGTAAAAGACTAAGGACAGGAACCTCAGAGGTGTTGAAAAGTCACAGGATCATTCATTAACCCACTGGTTGTTTCAATTATATCAAACAGCTGGTTTGGCTAGCTCTTGTCATGGCACTTAGGGCATTGGCACACAGTCTTACTCTCTTGATAGCTGTACTGGCATCTTTTCTCATCATAAATAATGTGAGATTCCTTAGAGTGACTTCCAGGAAAAAGGAGTGAGGATGGCTCCTTTGGAAATGGTGACCAGGTGTGCACTTAACATCCAGTCATACTCAAGTCTGGTTACACAGATAATTGGATCTGTTCAGTTCTGTCTTCTTCTTCCTCAACCTCCTCCTTCAGAAGAGTCTATAGTTTCAAGCCCAGTTTCTCCTGAGATAATGCACCAGCTAGCCATCACAGTCTTTCCTCTTGGTAATACCTGCCAGAGACAGGTCAGCACTTTCTATGTTTCCTCAAGTCTTAGAGAGCTGCTTTGATCCCTAAGAGCCCATGGATTGCCCAATATCACAAAGCTAGTGAGTATCAGAGACAAGACCTGGATTTTCTGAAGGCAGGATCAGAAGTTTTTTCCCATCGTGCAGATGAGAAGAGATTGATACTGTAAGACTAACAAAGGCCTGACATGCATTATCCCATTCAGCCTTCACAATACCCCAGTGAAGCACATGCCAATATTGTTTGCATTAGACAGAGAAGAAAAATATTAATTGTTATATTAGTAGTAATAGCATCCAATAGCCCCAGTAATATTAGTAATAAAGATGATGACGATGATGATGATAACTAGCATTCATACAGTCCTTTAAGGTTCTTAAAGTCCTTTACATCTTTACCGTGTGAGTTAGGTGCTATTGTTATCCCCATTTTATACATGAGGAAACTGAGACTGAAAACAGTTAGGTGACTTGCTCAGAGTCACACGGCTTCTAAGTATCAAAGTTAGGATTTGAACTCAGGTCTTCCTAACTACAGCTCTAACACTCTCCACTGATCACACCTGGCTTAAATTCAGAAAAAGGACCTGTTTTTCCTAAGGCTACACAGAAGTAGGATCGTAGATCTAGAGCTAGAAGGGTCTTTAGGGTCCACACCTACTCATGTTAAGTGACTGTCCAATGCCACCTGGATAAGAAGCATCCAAGGTAGGATCTGTCAACTAGACCAGAACCAGCCTCTAACCTGGGAATGGCCAGAGCCAAGCAGAACAGGCTAGAGACAAGAGACTCAGGATACAAATAGAAGTTTAATTAATTTCAAAGGGAGAAAAACACTTGGAAGTAGAAGTCCCCCTTCATCAGAAGGTGGGCTTAACATTCTGGGACAAAGGAAGGTCTTATATACATTAAAAAAAACAACAACACAAAACAGTGGACTGGACCATGACAGAATCATTCTTAGGTCTTGAGTAGCAGTTCCCATGGCAGGCTCATGAGTGGACAATGTAGGCATTCCTGGTTCCTATGGGAACAGTTTTTAAATTGATTCTCTCAAATCTTAAAGGTCATTGAGCTTTGTGATTATGTAGTGGAGTACAGAACCACAGTTAGTGTGGTGGGAATAGGAGTGCAATACCTAGTTCAATTTACTTGGAAGAACAGGGATCGTGAGCATGTCAAGAGATATGATGGGGGCAATGGGGGCAGCTAGGTGGCACAGTGGATAGAGCACCAGCCTTGGAGTCAGGAGGACCTGAGTTCAAATCTCGTGTCAGACCAGACACTTGACATTTACTAGCTGTGTGACCCTGGGCAAGTCACTTAAACCCAATTGCCTTGCAAAACAAAACAAAACAAAAACAAAAAAGAAATCGTTTCTTAAAAAAAAAAAAGAGAGATGATGTATAACTTTAGGTTACAGCACATTGAGTCTCAGGTTCCTGGGAAACAGGAGGAGCTCCCACAAATTCAAACAGTTATTGATAAATATGAAAATCACAAATCCCTCAGGGAACACCTTGGGCTGGTCAAAGCAATACACTTAGACAGAGGGTGATATCATCTAGAGCACAAAGGATTGCTGTTATGTCAAGCTCAGGGCACAGTGTGCTTGCTGGGCCTTAGATCTGGAAAACAGGGTGTCTCTTAATATTTTGACAGATCTAAACCCAGGTCCTTTATTTACAGATGCAGGATTTCAACTGTACTATGTCTTTGAGGTTGGCAGCAGCATGGCATGGTAGATATGGTGCTTGACATGGAACAATGAAGACTTGGGTTCAAATTCCACTTCTGACTCTTATTCGGGTTGTACTGTGGACAAGCCATTGAATAGCCTTAAGGCTCAATCCAATGCTAGGATTCAGACCCAGGCTGTGGGGACCTCCTACCGAAAACCACTGGCTGTGCCAAGCTTTAGACAATTGACTGTTTTTGACTTCTTTGCCTTTCAGGGAAGAGGATCTGCCTGGGAGAACAGTTGGCTAGGGCTGAGCTCTTCCTTTTCTTCACTTGCCTGCTCCAGAAATTCACATTTCAGGCTCCCCTAAACACCAAGCTGAGCCTGGACCCCGAAGTTCGAGTGACCACTGCTCCTGCTTCTTACCAAATCTGTGCCATTCCTCGAGTGATGTAAGCCAAGGTAGGCCTGGAGGATGTTCTTCCAAGGGGACATGGGGAAGGACTTTGAACTATCCTTATCCTCCAAGGGGTCACCCACCTTGCCCTTTGGAATTTGGGTGGGGAAAGGGAAAGAAGTCAAGGTGGGGAGAAGAGGAGAAAGAGACAAAGGGAGGGGATCTGTGGCCCAATTTGAACCTTCCCACTCAGAAAAAGGAGAGGAATTAATACCACCAAAAGGAAAACAGAGTGCTTATTAGACTTGGACTCCAAGGACTTGGACTCAAATTCCAAACCTGCCACTTACTAGCTGTGTGACCTTGGGCATTTAAACCTCTGCCTCAGTTTCCTCACCTAAAATGAGGAGGAGGAGGAGGATCTCTAAGGTCCCGTCCAGTTCTAAATGTAAAACTTTGTGATGCTAGAAACAGAGAACCAATGCTTTTCCTCTCCTACCTCAAACAGTGGGGCCAAATTAGGTTTCTTTTTTGTTTGATTGGCTACCTTTTGGTGTCTTGCTCATATAATTCATATGCTGGTTGTGATTTTAGGGGAGGTTTTGGAGAGTTTGTGGGAGTGACAGGAGACATCCCCAGGTTGATGAGGACAATCCTTAGAGAATCCTTATGAATTGTAAACTCCTCGTGGGCAGTGACTGTTTTCTTTATGTCTTTGAATCTACAGCATCCAGCCAAGTGTCCAAGATGGAGAAGGTGCCCAATATACACTTGCCGGTCGTTTCATCTCTAAATCACTCACTTCCATATTAATTATTTCTTTTGACTTAAACAGTTTGAGTATTAATCCATCAGCTGCTGAGTTCAGTTCCTCATTCCTATTAGAAACCTTATTATAGACAATAAATCAAAATTACTCCACTATTAATTATAATCTCTTGGGGCTAGTAATGCCTACACCTTGAGAACTGCTGAACTCTTCCCTATTCCTGTAAAGGTTCTTGTCAGAACTGCTTACACAAAGTACATTTCTATGATGATCATGAAAACTCTTGGAATACCTCAGCCAATCAGAAAATGTAAACGCCCATGTGAAACAATATGATCAATGTTCCTCATTTATTGTTTATGTTCTACTTTCTAATGTTCCTCAATTATACCTGAAAAATGCTCTGTGAGTTCACAATGAGGCCCTTGTACCAAATGAGGTTGCTGTGCACCTATTTTACTGGCAAATTGCTAATAAACTAATCACACTTGGTACTCTTTTGCTTCAGTTTCTGTTATTTGAAGGTTTTAATCATGACCACATCAACCCTCTCAGGTGAATAGAGGTAGGCCCAGTTTATAGATGGGAAAACAAAAAGGAGTTTACTAAATCAAAGGCTGAAAATTTTTTAAAAAATCCTGAAAAATTGATGACGGTAATTTCAGGCAGTCTTAATTTTTTTCAAAATTTGTTAACACTTTCATTTAAAGTTTTGAGTTCCAAATTCTATACCTCTCTACCGTCTACCCTCCCTGAGATGATAAGCTATCAGATATAGGTTGTACAAGTCCAATTATGTAAAGCATTTCCATATTAGTCATTTTGTACAAGAAGACTCAGTAAGAGAAAGAAAGAAAATGAAAAATAGCAACCTTCAGTCTGTATTCAACCAATATCAGTTCTTTCTCTGGAGGTAGATAGTATATTTCATCATTAATCCTTTGGGATTGTCTTAGATCATTGTATTGTTGAGAATTGCTAAGTCATTCGCAGTTCTTCAGCATACAAGATTACTTTTACTGTGTACAATGTTGTCTTGGTTCTTTTCACTTCACTTGCCAACGGTTCGTGTAAGTCTTTCCAGATTTTTCTGAAAACATCCTGCTTGTCATTTCTTATAGCACAGTAATACTTCATTAAAATCATATACTACACCTTGTTAAACATAATCCAATTGATGAGCATCCCATTAATTTCCAATTCTTTTTCACCACAAAAAGAGCTGCTTTATTTTTTGTATATGTGGGTCCTTTCCCCATTTTTGTGATCTCTTTGTGATACATACCTAGTAATGGTATTGCTGGATCGAAGGGTATGTCCAGTTTTATAAACTGTTGGGCATAGTTCCAAATTGCTCTCCAAAATGGTTGGATCAGTTCACAACTCCATCACCAATGCATTAGTGTTCCAGTTTTCCACATCTCCTCCAACATCCAACATTTTCCTTTTTTTGTAACATTAGCCTTTCTAATAGGTGAGAGGTGATACCTCAGAGTTATCGATTTGTATTTTTCTAATCAATAATGATTTAGAGCACTTTTTCATATGACTATAGATAGCTTTGATTTCTTCATCTGAAAACTGCCTGTTAATATCGTTTGACCACTTATCAATTGGAGAATGACTTGTATTTTTTTTATAAGTTAGAATCATTTCTCTATATAGTTAAGAAATGAGGCCTTTAACAGAGATATTTATTGTAATATTCCCCCATTTTTCTGTTTTCCTTATAAACTTGGTTTCATTGGTTTTGTTTGCTCAAAATTTTTTAAATTTTATATAACCAAAACTATCTATTTTATATTTTGTAATGCTTTCTATATTTTCTTTGCTCCTAATTTTTCCCCTTATCCATAAATCTAACAGTTAAACTGTTCCATTCTCTCTTAATTTGCTGATAGTATCACCCTCTATGTCTAAATCATGTGCCCATTTTGACCTTACCTTGGTAGATGTTATGAGATGTTGATATATTACTAGTTTCTGTCTTACTGTTTGCCAGTTTTCCCAGTAGTTTTTGTCAAATAATAAATTTTTGTCCCAAAAGCTTGGATCTTTAGGTTTATCATATACCAGATTACTGTGGTCATTTACTATAATGTAATTTGTACTTAATCTATTTCCCTGATCCACCACTCCATTTCTTAGCCAGTACCAGATGGTTTTGATAATTACCACTTTATAATGTAGTTTGAGGTCTGTTACCCCTATACCACCTTGTTTAGCATTTTTTTCATTGATTCCCTTGATATCCTTGTGCTTTTGTTCTTTCAGATGAATTTTGTTTTTATTTTTTCTAGGCCTATAAAATGTTTGGTAGTTTTATTGGTATGGCACTGGGTAAATAGATTAATTTAGGTAGAATTGTTATTTTTATTATATTGGATCTGCCTACATATAAATAATTTATATTTTTCCAATTGTTTAGATCTGACTTCATTTGTGTGAAAAATGTTTCATAATTGTGTTTATATAATTCCTGGGTTGGCCTTGGCAGGTAGACTTCCAAGTATTTTGTATTGTCTACAGTTATTTAAAAGGGAATTTCTCTATCTCTTGATGCTGGGCTTCATTGGTAATATGTACAAATGCTGATGATTTACATGGGCTTATTTCGTATCCTGCAACTTTGCTAAATTTGTTAATAATTTCAAGTAGTTTTTGAGTTGGTTCTCTAGGATTTTCTAAGTATAACATCATATAATCTGCAAAGAGTGATGTTTTTATTTCCTCATTGCTTATTCTAATTCCCTTAATTTCTTTTCCCTCTCTTATTGCTATAGCTAATATTTCTAGTACAACATTAAATAATAGAGCTGATAATGGGCATCCTTGCTTCACCCCTGATTGTACATGGAAGACTTCTAAATACCCCCATTACAGAAAATGTTTGCTGATGGTTTTAGATGTATGCTTCTTATTGTTTTAAAGAAAGTTTCATTTAGTCCTGTGCTCTCCAGTGTTTTTAACAAGAATGGGTGTTGTATTTTGTCAAAGCCTTTTTCTGTATCTACTTATATAATCATATGATTTCTGTTGGTTTTGTGACTGATATATTGAATCAGCCCTGCATTCCTGGTATAAATCCCACCTGGTCATAGGGTATGATCCTTGCTATAATCTCTTTGCTAGTATTTTATTTAAAATATTTTACATCAATATTCATTAGGGAAATTGGCCTATAGTTTTCTTTCTCTGTTTTGACTCTTCCTGTTTGGGTATCAACACCATATTTGTGTACTTAAAGGAATTTCTTAATGATGGGGTGCTTGGGTGCTTGTGCTTGTACTTGGACCCCAATCTTCTCCCTAGCCTCAGAAACACTGTCTCTAATAACCACTCCCCAGCCCAAGGATACTGTGCTTAGCAGTTATTCATGTGTAGGCCCCAGCAGGACACTTATCTCTCTCCCTGGTGCAGCTACACAAAGCTGGGTGAGAGAGTGCTGGGCTGCTCAGACCCCAGTCCTCAGATCATGTCTCTGGAAGCCTCCCAATTTCTTAGTAAGTGCCTGTCTTGTGAGAAAGCTTTCCCTTGTTGCAGAGCATTCTCTCATCAAGACAGAGGGAGAGGGGTACCTTGCCCAGCCCAAGGAGTTTTGTCCTTGGCTGGCCCAAGGACTGTTCCTCCTGCCAGACTCCAAAGATCCATACCTCTGTCATCTCCCTCCCTGTCCAGTATACTCCCTGTACTTTCTCATCCACAGCTCCCAAAGACACCTGCATCTTTAGATTACCTCATCAGTGTCCCTGGCATTCCTTTCCCATGCCCTTTTCCATATAAGCCCTAGCTCTATCCTCAGTCTCTTGCAGGTTCCTTAAGAATCCTTGCCCGCTGAAAAGTGTAACAATAAATCTTTGCCACCTTGACTTAAAGAGTGCTTGAGTCTGTGAATTCATTCCAGATGACCCAGTCCTGTACTTCAGTCCTTGAGGGGCCTCAACCTCTCAGACCACAACATTAAGACTCATTGTTTGCTTATTTTTTGAATAGTTTACATAGTAAGAAATCCCAGAATGAAAATTCCCAGGAACATCATAGCCAAATTCTAGAGCTCACAGATCAAAAAGAAAGTACTTCAAGTAGCCAAAAAGAAACAATTTGAATACATAGAGCTACAGTCAAGATTCCACAGGATATGACAGCTTCCATATTAAAGAACAGGAGGGTCTGAAATATGATATATTGGAAGGCAAAGGAGTTAGGACTACAATCAAGAATCACCTACCCAGCAAAACTGAATATAATACCTCATGGGGGACGGAGGTGGGCAATTAATGAAACAAAGGACTTTCAAGCATTTCTAAATAAAGAACCAGAGCTGAATAAAATATTTGATCTCTAAATACAAGACTCAAGAGAAACATAAAAAGGCAAAAAATAAAATAGAAAGAGATAACTTAAGAGATTCAATAAGTTTAAACTTCTATATATAATAAGTTTATATTTCTATGTGGCAAGATGATATTTTAAATCTTCAGGACTTTATTAGTAAAAGGGAAAACAGAAAAAAAACTATATGTAGACAAAGCATATAAAAATAAGGTGACTTTAATGAGATGAGACCCAAAGAAATCAAAATAAAGGAGTGAAAAGAAGATTGCATTAGAAGGAGGTGGGGAAGATAGAACATGGTAAATTATGTCATAAAAGAGACATGAGAAACATATTATGGAGGAGAAAATAAGGATCGGCAGGCAAAGCTTAAACCTTACTCTCATCAGAACTGTCTCAAAGAGAGAATAACATACCCACTCACTTATGTACAGAAATCTATCTAACCCTATAAGGAAGTTAAAAAAAAGGGGGACGAGGACAATAGAAGGAAGTTACTGATAGAAAGGAGGGCAGATTGGAAGAGATGGTCAGAAGTAGAACACTTGAGAGGAGGAACATGGTGGGGGTAAGAGAGAGATAGAGAGAGAGGAATAAACAAGGGAAAATAGCATAAAGGAAAAATACACAGTTAATTGTCAAAACTATAAATGTGAATGGGATGAACTCACCCAGAAAATAGAAGTAGATAGCAAAATGAATGAAAAACCATAATCCCACAATATATTGTTTACAAGAAACATATTTGAAGCAGAGCAACACACAGGGTAAAAGTAAAAGGCTGGAGCAGAATCAATTATGCTTTAACTGAAGCCAAAGAAACAAACAAAAAACAGGAGTAGCAGTCAGGATCTCAGAGAAAGCAAAAATAAAAAAAAATAGATCTAGTTTAAAGAGATAACTATATCTTGCAGAAAGATACCATAAATAATGAAGTGAGCAAACTATATATGCACCAATAGGTATAGCAACTAAATTTTTGGAGAAGTTGAAAGACTTACAGGTAGAAATAGACAATAAAACTATACTAGTGGGTGGCTTCAACTTTCCTCTCTCAGAACTAGATAAAATCTAACCAAAAAAATAAACAATTATTAATGAGGTGAATAAAATTCAGAAAGAGTTAGATATGATAGATCTCTGGAGAAAATGGAATGGG